TTGTTTTTTTTAAATTAAGGATTGTCCTTGGTGGTTCCCTCCCACCACTGGTTCCTCCACAGGTGTAAACATGTTCCCTTCAATGTTCCGATTAAACCATTCCACTTGCCCATTTGCATGGGAATTACAAATGGAAACCTTTGGTGGCTTCGCTCCTTACAATTTCCACGTCGGTCCAAAGGTCCAGCTGATAAAAGTGAGATCCTTGGTCAGTGAAGACCTTTTTTAGAGAAACCTGTTGTTGAAAATCTCCCTATTCTGTCGAAAGGCCTGTCCTGGGTGGGGCCTCAGTGTTCATGGCCCTGCTGGAGGTGGCTTCCCTGGAGGGAACGGGCATTGGGGACGTGATGGGTAGCCTTCGTCCACCTCTTTCCTCCTGTTCGGCAAGAAGAACTGCCATTTTCCTCTGGCCAGGGTTTTCTGCACCCTGCCATGGGGGTCCTGCTCAGGGTAGGTCATGAGCCAATCGAAGCACCTCCCTCTGCAACCTACGGGGTAAAACCATTTGTCCCCCTTCTCCACCCACCCGACTTTACTACCCTGTATATAGGATCCCATCCCTCAATTCAATCTCCTGTTCATGAACTTTTTGGTTCATTCGCCCCTCCTGCCCCAACACCCTTCCTCCCTCCACTCCATTCCCACGGCCCCTCTGGCCTCCTTAACGTTTCCTGCTGCCACCTCTGCCATCGTGGGAGGAAGGCTAGCAGCTGCTTGCAAAGGCTGGGCTCCCTGTGCGCCTGCCCCTCACCTGAGAGGCTGAGAAGCGCATGCACAGTGAGACGTTCTCGGAAAGCATTAAAAAAACCATAGAGTTCCAGAATCATGAAGTTCAAAGGGGAATCTGAGGCCATCCAGTCCAGCCCCCTGCTCAATGAAGGCAAACACATCAAAGGATATCTGCCAGGTGGTTGTCTAAATTTCTTTTGAAAGGCTCCAGGGCTGGTTCACCACCTCTTGAGGTACAGAATTGAATAGTGAAGTTGGATGGGGCCTGTAAAGCCATCTAGTCCAACCCTCTGTCCAATGAAGTAATTGATCCCATGGTCATTCCACTGTCAACAGTTAAGTTTCACCTGATTCCGTCTAAATCTGGCTTTCTGTACAGTTCAGCCCATTTTTGCATGTCCCGCACTCTGGGATGATCCTGCCCCTCTTTTGTAGGAGAGCCTTTCAAGTCTTTGAAGAGCGTGATCATATGTCCCCTCACCCTTCTTTTCTCAATGCTAAACATGCCCAGTTCTTTCCATCTTTCCTTCCACGGCTTGGTTTCCAGCCCTCTGATCATCCTGGTTGCCCTCCTCTGAACTTGGTCCAATCTGTCAGTACCTTTCTTGAAATCTGGTATTCAGAAATAAATACAGAACTCAAGAGGAGGCCTAACCAACGCTGAATAGAGAGGAACTAGGACCTTGTAGGATTTGGAGAATAAACTTTTAATGCCTAAAATACAGTGGTTCCTTTTTACACGATGATAATCCGTTGCACTGAAATCGCTGCCAAGCAAAATCATTGTCTAGCGAAGAGCAAATTGTCGTCTAGCAAAAATCGGTTTGCGAAGCAGGAACCAAACATTGCTCAGCGAAATTCCCCAATAGGAATCACTGTTTTGCGAATTGCTATAGCGATCGCAAAAAGTCAATATCTAGCGAAAAAACGGTCAAGCGGAGTAACTGTCTAGCGAGGCACCACTGTAGTGTTTTTCCTGCCAACCTAGCAGTTCAAAAGCCTGTAAAAATGTTAGTAGATAAATAGGTACACCACGGTGGGAAGGCAACTGTGTTCCATGTCTAGTTGTGCTGGCTACGTGACCATGGCAACTGTCTATGGACAAATTCTGGCTCTACGGCTTGGAAACAGGAATGAGCACCATGCCCTAGAGTCGGACACAACTGAGCTAAATGTCAAGGGGAACCGTTATCTTTTTAAAAATACTGTTTGCTACTTTTGTAGCCACATCCCATTGTTGGGTCCTACTCAGCTATTTTGCGAGCGCTAATCAGCTGTTAAAATAGCTGCCCTGAGAAGCATGGACCCGGAAAACATAGGGCAGCCATTTCAGGAAGGCGACAATCGTCGGAAAAAATCGTCTTGCGACTAAACGGTCCGCGAACCACTGGCTTAATGGACGTCCAGCAGAATTCCCCCATAGGAATGATTGTTTTGCGAATCGCTATAGCGATCACCCCCTTCATGGATTGCTTTGTCATCGCAAAGGGGCTTGAGTAATTCAGAGAAACTATGGGCTATACCGTGCAGGGACACCCAAGATGGACAGGTCATAGTGGAGAGTTCCAACTAAACGCAATCCACCTGGAGCAGGAACTGGCAAGCCACTCCAGCATCTTTGCCAAGAAAACCGCATGATCAGAAACAAAAGGCTAAAAGATATGACGCCGGAAGATGGGACCCACAGGTCGGAAGGGGTCCAACATGCTACTGAGGAAGAGCAGAGGACAAGTAGCTCCAGAGCTAATGAAGTGGTTGGGCCAAAGCCGAAAGGACGCTCAGCTGTGGACATGCCTGGAAGTGAAAGGAAAGTCCGATGCTGCCAAGAAAAATTCTGCATAGGAACCTGGAATGTAATCCAGGAAGCCGGATGTGGTCAAACAGGAGATGGCAAGAATAAATATTGACATCCTGGGAATCAGTGAACTAAAATGGACAGGAATGGGCGAATTCAATTCAGATGACTACCATTTCTACTATTGTGGGCAAGAATCCCGTAGAAGGAATGGAGTAGCCCTCATAGTCAACAAAAGAGTGGGAAAAGCTGTAATGGGATATAATCTTAAAAAGGATAGAATAATGTCAATACGAATCCAAGGCAGTCCTTACAACATCACAGTAATCCAAGTTTATGCACCAACCACCATTGCTGAGGAGACTGAAATTGACCAATTCTATGAAGACTTACAACACCTTTTAGAATTGGCACCAAAGAAAAATGTTCTTATTCTAGGGGATTGGAATGCTAAGATAGGGAGTCAAGAGACAACATAAGAGGTGACTCTACACATGGAAATCACCAGATGGGCAATACCGTCATCAGATTGATTATATTCTCTGCAGCCAAAGGTGGAGAAGTTCAATACAGTCAGCAAAAACAAGGCCTGGAGCTTATTGTGGCTCTGATCATCAGCTTCTCATACCAACATTCAAGCTTAAACTGAAGACAGTAGGAAAAACCACTGGGCTAGTCAGGTATAATCTAAAACTGTCTTTGGTGTCCCTGCACGGCATAGCCCATAGCTTCTCTGGGTTACTGAAACCCCTTCGCCACGACAAGGCACCAATCCATGAAGAGGGACAGTTTTGGTACATATGCACTAATCACAGTGACCGGTCACACTGATGAATGGAGCTGCAGAGAGAGGATTCTTTCACTCCCCACAGTAGGTGAAACAATGGATCATAGCAGAGTGTTTCTGACCGCAAAACCAACACCATATTCCCTGGTCTCATTCAAAGGTTTTCCCTGCCAGATGTTAATCCAGGACATCCCAAATGTCCTTCCCATTCAGAAATCTAATTGATTAAGTCCCAAGAGATCATTCTGTTCCCACGTGTTTCTGGATGTTAACAACAGTACCACTGTGAAGTGGGGGAGCCACTTAGAACCTCCCGTGATGTCCTTAGAACAACAAGCGCACGGTTTTTACTCAATCCCTGAGATTGAAACCCTCTGACAGTCATTCCTGTCGCTTGTCGAAATGCCGACTTTGGATCGTTTTGCCCTTAGATGGGCACAGGCTAGCTTTCATGCTGGAAGCTGTCCCATCAGAGGGTGAAGAGGAGTTCTCCAATTACATAAGACCAGTATAAATTAGGATCAAATGAGGTAAAAAAATATTTAGACAGAACTTAACAAAAGAAAACTAATAACAAACCAAAGAGACCAGACCAATACAATGTAGCAACTGTCCACTATATTGAAAGAAATGAAGAAAAAATCATGTGTCTCCCCTCAAGCTCCTTTTCTCAAAGCCAAACATGCCCAGTTCCTTCAGTCTTTCTATGTTGGCTTTCGGTTTTTACTTCATTGTTTTGAATCTTCTTGCAGACTCTGTTCCGTAATCTGCTCAAGAACCTTCCCTGAGATGGATGTCAGGCTGAATGGTTTTCAGTTCCCTTCATTCCCCTTTCTGAAGATAGGGACACGGTCAGCTCTCCTCCACCTGTCTGGCTCTTCACCTGTCCCCCTTGATGAGAAGAGAATATTAGATAGTGGTTCTGCAATTTCTTCAGCCAACTCCTCTGATATCCTTGGATGCAGTTCATCTGGCCCTGGGGATTTGAACTCCTCCAAACAAGTAAGGTATTTGTTTTTTATATTGCACTCCTCTTTGATCTCTTTTTTCCTCTCCATCAGGTGATGAAGAGGACAATGGGAATTCTATGGAGCCAGTCATTCTTTTATTGAAAACAAAAAACCAAGTGTGAAGTACCAAAAAACCCTACACATTTAAAAGGAGGAAAAGGGAAGAAAGGAAGCCAGGAAAAAAGAGAGATAAAGAAAACTCCAGCTTCTCCTGCTATTAATGTTAATGCACTTCTCATAACATGAAAAAATCAAGAAGAAGAAAAAAAGGACATATGTTCATAGAAAAAGAAAGGAGCATCACAATGCACAGTGATTGTACTT